CATTGGTAATTAATGAGATGAATTACAGTTTATACAGTATAATATTTAGCTCCTGGGCAATTTTTTCCACAAGAAAAAGTGTATCATTTCAAAAAACAAAAGAGTTTACTAGTACAGAAAGGTATTCTGTAGTGTGAAATGAAAGCACCACGTGTTTGTACAGAATGCCACGGAACACACATGCAGCCTGTTTATTGCTTGCACAACTCCATATACTGAAGTATATTTATGTTAAGATATTGTTCATGAACATATTTTTGTGATGAGTTATCTCTGCCTTTATAATAGAGTCTTCAGCAGACAGCTGCTGGCCAAAATGCAGCCTCCATTTCTGAGCCATGAGTGCTGGGTGTGGCCATGAAGCTAAGTTCTAGCACATGAAATATGAAGGGAAAGGAAGCATGTACTGCTCGGCTAGCATGGCTCAGTGGCTGAACATTGCCTATGAACCAGGAGGTCAAGGTTCAACTACTGGTCAAGGCACATGCTTCCTGGTTAGGGCACATACCTGGGTTGTAGGTTTGATCTCCAGTAGGGGGCATTCAGGGGCCAGCCAATCAATGCTTCTCTCTCAACATCGATGGTTTGATCTCTCTCTCCTTCTCCCTTCCTCTCTGGAGAAAAAGAAAAGTGTGCACTTTCTGGGCCCGCCTTCACTTTCTTCCCATGGACTTGAATATGGATAAAAGTTTAAGGTGGCAGAACAGTTAGATAAAAGTGGTCTAAGGCAGGGATGGGGAACCTTTTTCCTGCCACGGGCCATTTGGGTATATAATATCATTCTCAGGCCATACAGAATTATCAACGTAAAACTTAGCTTGCTGTATTTGGTTAAACATTTAATTAACTCACCCCTAATGCCTTGCCAGGGCCAGACAAAATGATTTCATGGGCCTTATATGGTTCATGGGTGAGACATTTCCACCCCTGGTCTAGGGTTTTGAAACATAAAGCCTACACCTGGATCCAGAACTGCTTATATACAATTATTATGTGTGTGTGAGAGAGAAAGATGTTCAAGGCACTTCTATGCTGGTTTTCTGTGATGGCAGGCAAATCTGTAGCATAAATGATACAATTTAGTTTGTTGTTGGAATATGAGGTTTGTGCTCAAATGTGCAATTAGGTGTCTACTCAAAGTTCAGATTGTGTTTGCATGATCTCTTGGAGTATATTTTGCTTTGTAATATGGATTCTGTTTTATGCGAGAAAATGAAAATCTGTTCATACATTTGTGTAACTATTATGGTTATTCAAAAATTTGGGAACGATTTAAATAGCCTCCAGAGAAGTCTGAATGTTGGACTCTCTTTAATTAGTAAACCACCATCAAGAACAAATACACTAGTTCTCTAAAAAAGGTTTAACCTCAAGTCTTGCCCTACATATTTTCCATCTTCACATCTCATTTGGTTTACAGAGACCACTTCTTAGACTGTCTCCCTCCTCCAGATTGCTTTGGAATTTGTCTCTGAGAATTGCTCTTAAGCAGCTGCCTTACCCCAAGGACTCACCCACACCCTATAAGTCCTGGGCCTACGCCACACAGCTTTCTGGAGGGCTCATTTCTAATGTCTGCTCATAATCTATTTGGTTTTCCTTTGATTTCAGTGGCTTCGCTTCAATGATATATTTTGTCATACTTAGGGGAATTGTTAGTTTAAGAGGTTAATATTTACACATACTACAATGCAGTCCTCTCCAATGAAAACTCCTAAAAAAATTGACATGTGGCTATCCTGATGGCAAAAAATCACTGGATAACAAGAAAAAATACATCATATAATACAATAAATGCCTGCCAAGATTTGTAGGTTTCCAGAAATGATAAATGAGTTCTATTTTAGTACATTCTAAGGATCACTCTTATAAACTCTGTTTTTGTTTTCAGGTTTTTTTTTTCTTCAAGTATTAGAATCTTGATTGAATGCTGACCTCAAAAAAGCAACCCCCAAAAAACTCATGCTCATAAATTCAGTGAAGGGTTTGGTTCACTCACAGGACCATCAGATAATGAGCTGGTTAAAGTTCTCTAACTAAAATTTTTATTTGCTCAAGTTCCATTTCACCTTTTCAAGCTCTAATCTTAAAGCTGTCAGCATAGCTACCGCCAACAAATAGTATAAATGATACAGACAATTAAGCCAAGTCTTTTCCGAATCTGGCACCTAATACCTTACAGGCATGAAACTGTATCTCACAAATACAGCAAGCTTAAGTCTTTTCAAAAGGCTTACTGTTAAAAAAATAATTGATATATTTTTTTTTTTTTACAGAGAGAAAAAGAGATGGAGAGAGAGTAGAAACATCCATGAGAGAGAACATAGACCAGCTGCCTCCTGCACTCCCCATCCTGAGGATGTGCCCGCAACAAGGTACATGTGCCCGCAACAAGGTACATGCCCTTGACCAGAATCAAACCTGGGACCTTTCAGTCCGAAGGCCAACGCTCTATTCACTGAACCAAACCAGATAGGGCAAGGCTTACTGTTTTAAACTATCAATAGATGCACTGGCATTAGCATTGAGTAGTTAATTGAAACTCTTGTTGATATTTTGAAGAACTTTAAATATTTGTTTCTGTTTAATAAAAGTAATAGTAAACATGGTAACTAAAGGATTCTTTGGTGCCCTTAAAAGAAGCTTCAAGTAGTTTGTATATTTAATATTATCTTTTTGTACTTCGATTAGTTATATGCATTTCACTACACAACTCTATGACCTTTTATAAAAGTTATATAGGGTAAAAAGTGAAAATCCCCCACTTCTACCTTTTGATTCTGTTGTCTAAAAGTAACTGCTATTAACAATTCTGTGCCTGTTTAGCTGGGATTTGATGTATTCCTATTTAGTCATATACCCCAGCCTATAATTATGTCAAATCTATGCCTATATCTATTTATATGTCCCTATATCTCTATATGTATATATCTGCATCCTCACTTTTTGTCATATAAGGTTGAGATATGTATACATATTGCTCTTCCACTGTCATTTTCCAGATATACTATGTTGTGAACATCATCTTTTATTTAGTGTATATGGATTTCATGCCATCATTTTAATGGTTGCATAGCATTCCAAACTGTAACCTAGTTTACACATAAAATTTTATTATTAACTATGGCAGAGGCATGTCATTATAAGCAATAATTATACATTATAGGTGGAAATGTGTTTTTTTTTTCTTTTTTGTCAGTAATACACAATATAATTATGAACATCTTTGTGCATATATTTTTTTATGAAGTTGTTTTATTAATTCTTTTGGTAAGGTGCTAAAATGGCCAGTTGCCATTTCAAAGGTATTTTAACTCAGCAATACCAAAAGAACAAAAATTCCTACACATTTTTATTCTAGAGGCTTCTCCTATAACCATACTTTTCCAGAGTAAATTCCTAACATAAAATTTTGTTATTAATACTGTTTATTACAAGGCATCACAAATGAGTTGTGGTGTCAAAGTAAATGTTCCATCCAGATAATGCTATAGTACTCCAGAATGATGAAATGCTTAAAATAGAGTATTTAAGTTAGAACTTGTAGATGGATATAATTACAGCTCTCATAATGCAACCATGCTATAGTGACACATCCAAGAGCAAATTCTTCCCAGCATTCTTAGTATCGATATAAATGTCCAAGTGGTGAGCATATGTTTCTGGAATGTTTAATGTTTCTGTCGGCAGTTGGGCAGGGTTTGTCTTATTTTTTGGGAGCTATATCATAGGTCGGTTAATACCTTCTTATGTCATTATTGCATTCCCTCCAACAGATTTGATAGGGTATATGGAAATTTCTAAAAAGGTGAACTGAGAATTCCAATCTGAACAACTTTATGGAGCATTAGCATTTTGTTACAACTTATACAAAGCAGAAAGAGTTGGCCAGAAGCACAGAATGATCCGCTGGCCTATAGTTGGAATACTGTGATTTTTGCTGTAAAGTGTTTGACTTCACTTAAATTGCCTTATGACATGTCACTGATCTAGTTTGTTAGCAAAACCAGTTTATGGAAACCAGATTTCTTTACCGTGAAGAGAGTGGGAGATTTTTATTTCTCATTGTAGATAGCTCAGTTGAACAGAACTGAGAACATTAGCTTTGCTAGAATGGCAATTGTGGATTAATATTATATTGAAAGAGGGCAAGGATGTCACGCTAAGATATCCAATCTGCATTGTTTGGCAATGCCAATGGCCACATTAGATTTACAGAGGAAATCGTATTTATATTTACATCAGGATTATAGAGCACTACACTGTGGGAAGATTTTTGGAAGAATCAAAAAAAAACCAAGGCAAACTTTGTTCAAGAGTTCACTAACTAACCCATGCTTCATGTAGCCCCACTCGAATCCTTGCTTCCCTCACCCAGAAACTATTTAGGGGATCATGGCATCTATAGGATTAGTCAGGGGGCCTGGGCATGAAAAATAATTTTACTTATTAGCCCTTTTGGGTCAAGAGTTAAAAAGTTGATATACCCATTGATAACAAATGTGTGAGGATAACATTTAAAATAGTATCAGCATATTTTGGAGGCAGGGGTACTGTTGCCATATATATATTAGGAACACTTTTAGTATGTAATTTATACCTTTTTTTAATAAAATATGCTTTTCAGAGGGAAAAGGAAACAAGCCAAATAAATGTTATTAGATTAAAAAAAATAGTCACTCTTTAGATGGGCTTTGAACAGTGAACTTTCTCATGGTATTTGATTCCAATTGAAGAAAGTGAAACCAATTCTGTCTTCAATACAGTCCCAGAACAGATTGTTCATAAAACATTGATTACTCAAATGGATAGATTATCATATTTTAATTTTTATATATTTTGATGGTTTCTCCAAGAAGACACTCTTTGAGTCACACAGCTACATTATAGGGGGAAAAGAAACATCTACATATCCCTTTCACGCTGCCAAAATAATAAGTGATGGGAACCAGGATATTCACAACATTCCAAAAGCTAGATAATCTGCACATGTGCCTTACCCTTCTCTTTCGAAGTCTGACTTGATTCTCTGTGGGTTCCTGGGTGGTCAGAGGTTCCTTGGAGTGTAAACACCGCATGCCATCTCCCGAGCTGACCTTTGGAAGATGTTTGTTTTGATGTTCTGAGAAGCCACCCTTCTGCAGACCATTTTCTGCGGACATTCCACCAGGGCAGGAAGGAGGCTGCAGAAGGCAGCCCTCAGTATCTGCTTTTGATAACAGCAGTCCTCTGTCTGCGCAGGGTCCAGTGGAAAACTCATCTTGCACCGCACAGCAGGTGTTTCTTTCATGCTCCTCCTTGGGGAAGTCAGGTTTCCTTCGTTGCTGAGCAATCACAGCAGAATTAAACAATTGCTTCTCAGGCACGATGTCCTTCACATTCAATGACTCACATCCATGTGTTTGGGACGCATCTTTTATTTCACTTAAGCTTATATCCTTACAAAGCTCCAGGCTTTTACTTATAATGTCAATCACTTTCCTCGCCCCACTTGCTTCCACGAGGGCCAATTCAGCTCTGCCAGCCACTCCCCAGGAGTTGTAAGAATCTTGGTTTCTTTCCGTGGTAGGCAGCGTCTGGACTAAGGAGCCCGCTCCTTGGACGCTGTGCTGGTCTGAGGTTTCGTGCCCGTGGGACGTTAGGATCTGTTTATCCTCTGTAAAACATGGATCAGAATCGGTATCCTCATCAGAAACATGCACTAGGGTTTCCGTGCTGGCTTCCAGAGACAGAAACTGATCTTCACCTTCCTGGCTGTCACTTTCATCCACCTCCTTTGAAATGTGACCCATTGGCCTCCCAGGAAAATCTCTCAGCTCTGATGCATGGCAGCAATCCGGTAGGGAGACACACTTCTCCTTGTGGTCCGCATTTAGAGTTGCATCTTTTTCCATGCTTGCCTGCAGGCTGTCAGCTACGAGTCCATGATGACATGCTGTGTTATGATCATCAGAACTGAAAGACTGTCCCATCCATTGGGTCACATGTTCTTCCCAGCTTCTCTTCCTGATAGCTACAGACATGTCATTGTAGTTTAACAACAGATACAGAAATACATTCCATGTGAGGCCAAAGAAGATGGAACTCGGTGAAAGAACTTCAAATTTGCTGACTGAAGAAGACAGTGAGTTTTCTCATTTCACCACCTATTAAAATTAAAAAAATATATATATATAGTTCAGGACATGATTCTAAACTGAAAATATAAGTTGGAAAAGAGAGCACTTTATGCTAGAAAGATCAAATTAGAGAGTTTATAAAATTTATGTTTAATAGCTTTAATAGTATTCTTTTAGAAGCAGCTTGATATAAGAAGAAAATTTCACAGTGGATATTTATGATAAAAAATCACGGGCAGTATTTTAAAAGGCAGCTAGATTGATCAATCTATTAACGAATAAAGATGTAACTACTGGACATTGAAAACTTCAGTAAGAAAATATTTGGATTGCAAAATACTTGGTAAAATTCACTGCAGGACACTTGTTGTTCTAGCTTACATGCTTTCCTCATTTAGTTTTGTGAACACAAGTCTTGACAGAAATCTATTTGCTGTTTGGTTTGAATTTCAACAAAGGCCACTAGGGAACCGTACATGCAAAATCTGAGCTATAGAGACAGCATTTGTAATGTATTAGTGTGTGAAAGAGCTAATACAGATCCCAAACTCTCAGGATGTATTCACTCCAGGGTGTGACTAAGAAACATGAAATAATCCAGTTTAGCTCATATTAACACATAATTCATGGATAAGAAAGCATAGCACATACCATTTACAATGCCTCAGGATGAATACATTTACATGCATAGTATTCCTGCTACTAGCTAGCTAGCATTATTGAGGCTAAGAGAAATTCAATAACTTGTTCACGGCTATAGATACATCTAGGAAGTTAGCCAGTAGTCAAACTAGGCCCTGGTTCTAAGGCCAGGATGAGGTAGCCAACACACTTCATCGTCTCCGTGCAATGAGATCCTATCTCCACCCCTTCCTTCCACATATCTGTAGTATGTATAAAAACTAAACTCCGTAGGCAGGAATTCAGGGGAACCAGAAGGACAATGTGAGCATGATAAGGCAATCGGGATAATTCTTCAGAAATTTCAGTCTCTTTGGCTTGCATGGAGGTTAGTTTGTATACTTCTGTTAGAATTCGGCCATAAAGATTTAAGTAAACAAGAAAACCAGGCATAAGATAAGGTCAGAATATAAACACATTCCTGGTATCCATACTTTTTTACCTTTGAATTATTCAAACCCTTAGTTAAAGGAAACAAATTATGCCAGTGTAAACTCAGCCTTATAAAATGTCGTTCTGTAATGAAAGCAAATTCATGGACTGTAAAAGAAAAATCCCATTCACAAAGCAGACACTTCTAGTGTTGACTCCACATGGGGACCTTCAGCACATAACATGGATTGGCTTATTGATTTTAGCCGTAAACAAGATTAACTGCTGTGCTGGTTTTGGGTCACTTCAGGCTATTGAAAAGGACTGACTCCTCACCAAAAATTTCAAGCTATTCTGACTAAGCTCTAAGCACATGCCAGAAAGGTAAATATTCCCATCCTGTGAAGACCAGTGAAGTTAAGGAATGTACTAGAAATTGGTTCTTCAGCCTGACCAGATACCTTTCTGGATACTATTTGGTGCCCTCAAAGGTCTGTGATCATCTTTAAAAAATGGTCAGCATTCACATTTTCCATGTGGGCATTCATTCTCCACGCAAAAGAAAATAGAAGGACCCTGAACCCCATGCATAAGTCATTACAGAGTGGGAGGCTACAGAAAGTGGAAAAAACGCATAGATGCGGGTCAGAAAAAAATTTGCTTTTATGGGCAAATTTGGGTTGTAATAGGGAGTTTCTGTTTTAGATGCTTTCTTTTCTTTATTTTTATCCAGTGTAGAAAGAGAGGGCTAACTTAAGAAATGCCAAGTGGTATTACTGTGTCATTCCTAAGCCTCATTTACATTTCAGTTGAGACTGAATTCTGGCTTCATTTCTTTTACTAAGAAATTATTAACCCCTTAGAGAACAGAGTACACTAAATTTTGCTTTTAAGACCTTATCTTAATATTAACTAACTTATTTGACTCAACCTTGGCAAGTATGTAAATATTTTTATATTATCAAAGAGAGGCAGTTCAACACGCTCTGAGACAATCTGGCTACAAAGAAAGACTGTAAATTAGATATATCCAACATAGTATTAAGTACTCTGTTCTACTTTCTAATCTAGGTTTTTTATTATTTTTGAATTATTCCTATGAATGTACATTGTCTTTTCTTTCAAGAAAAATGTTCTAATTATTATTATGACAACCATCACTACATTTTGAGTGCTCATTCCATAATATCCTGTGGTCTGATAGATTGAAAAAAAGTTATCTCTACAAGCTTTCTTATTCATACTTCCTATTTAATTTTTGAGTTATAACATTTATGGTTAAAATCTGCCTCCACGATCTAAAAGCTTAACAGAATCTAAATAAGATGGAACACTGGATTCTTTTCAATCATATCTCAGCGTATTGGCCTCATTTTCTAAGTCATCTGAATTGATTAGAATCCATCCTGCCAGGAAGATGTGAAGTCTTTGTAAAAGTTCTGACTCTCCCGATGGACCACCTCATCAGAATGCCTTATTTAAAATTATATTTCTAACCTGGCCTGTACGGCTTAGTGGTTGAGCCTTGACCCATGAGCCAAGAGGTCATGGTTCAATTCCCGGTCAGGACACGTGCCCAGTTACGGGCTCGATCCCTAGTAGGGGCTGTGTAAGAGGCAGCTGATAAATGATTCTCTCCCATCATTGATGTTTCTATCTCTTTCTCCCTTTCCCCTCTTCTCTCTGAAATCAACAAAAACAAATAAAAATTATATTTTTAACTACTGACTACTTATTTTGTAAATTTCTATTACATTTTTTGGGTAAGCCCTTTTTACGAAATTTCATTCAGAATGAGCTCAGCTGCTGAGGATTTGGATGAAGGATCTGGAAAAGTATAGGTCATTCCAGGGTGTTGATTTTATGAAGTGAATTTCCATGGGGATTTTTCACTTCTTAAATGCATGTGTTCAAACACCACTGTATTAATAGTACAAGAAACTGTGTGTACCTCTAATTATGTAACATTTCAGAAAAATAATTGCAAAATGTCCAACTTTTATTTGTGATATTAGTGCATAGGATGTTTAGATACAAAGTTATTTCAAATGAATTGTTTTGGCTAATTTTGTAGCATGAACACTCCATAAAGTAAGTACTTTATAGCAGATAGAATTTATTTTTAAATTAATTGTAATCGTACTAAAAAATGACATCAGACGAATAGATTCTATTGAGAATCACTGACATATATCGGATATCAAATGATCATTTGGCCTGTTTGTGAATTGTCCCTAAGGAAGAAGAGCCTGGTGAAAATCACTCCTGGTCACTGTATAGCCTGGGAGAACATGATAAAAATGAAGGACTTGTGGCTGTAGAACCGATGGCAACACTGTCTGCCCATCATCATTCCTTAACTAATGTTTATTCAGTGCCATAGACATTGTGCTAAAGCTTGGGAATATAAACCTAAATAATATACTGTATTCTACCTTTCCTAAAGAAGCTTACAACTTTATGGTAGAAACTCATGTAAACAAGGATATTAAGTTTTCACATAGCCACAAATGCCACAGAAAATTTAACACAGAGGAGGGGTCATCAACTCTTCCTCCTTTTCCTCCCTCCCTCCCTCTTCATTTTCTAAATCATTTGAATTGACTAGAATCCAGATTGGGAAGTCTTTGTAAATGTCCTGACTTTTGCCCCAGTTGGTTTGGCTCAGTAGCTAGAGCATTGGCCTGAAGACTGAAGAGTCCCAGCTTTGATTCTGATCAAGGGCACATGCCTTGGTTGTGGGCTCCAGGTTCGATTTTCTATCAGGGGCATGCAGGAGGCAGCCAATCAATGAATCTCTCTCTCTCTCTCTCTCTCTCTCTCTCTCTCTCTCTCTCTCTCTCCTTTCTTCTCTGAAATCAATAAATATATATATATTTTTAAAAGTCCTGACTTTTAAAAGTCTTTGTAAAAATCATTCTTTCTTTTTTCCTTTGTCTGTTCCTTTCTTTCAAGTAGTGTTGGTAATGGTGCAAACATTAGATAGGGCCTCTAGAGGAGGGAACCCCTGAATGAGGCCCTCTGTGGGAAATTTCCTGCTTCCAAAACATCCAGATCAAATGGGAGTTGAGATGTATTTCCTACTCTATATGCGAAGTCTTTCTTTCCTTTTGGCTCTAGATTTTTAATATTCTAGAATTACCTCTTTAGAAAAGATAACAGAAGCATCATTAAGCTCCAGAGAATTACTTGCAACTTGAAAACTCACTGGTCACACATTTCTATGGAGCATTTCAGAGAAAACTAATGAGAGAAATTTTTCAAAGGAAAAGAATGCCAGATAATTTCTCAGAACTAATGAATTTAGTTTTAAGATTGAAGAGAATCCATGGAATATCCAATAATACAAAGATCAGGAAGAGATCACACCAATAAACATTATTGTGAAATTTCAGAAATTTAGAAATAAAATGATCATAAATATTGTCAGAGTAAGAAAAAAAAAACTACATATTAGGTATTGGGAATCAGAACCATGTTAGATTTCTTAATACTATATATAAGACAGGTAACGATTGGTTGCCTTCTGCATGCACCTGATGGGAGATCGAACCCGAAACCTGGGTATGTGCCCTGACTGACAATAGAACCTGCCGGCTCCTGGTATAAGCACCAACCATTTGAGCCCACTGGCAAGGGCTATAAAATGTTTTAAAGAACAGAAATGTAATCATTTTATACTACTGGCTTAGCTGTGAAATTTTTTGGTAACCAAGACAATGCAAACAGTAAATACTGACTTGATAAAAATTTTAGATAATCTATTTTCCAAGCATAGATTTTTTTTGGGGGTGAGGTTAGGGAAGGTAGGCAGAATAGTTTCAGAGAACAAATGTTTAATTTTCTATAGT